GTAGTAGTAGTAGTAGTAGTAGTAGTAGTAGTAGTAGTAGTAGTAGTTGTTGTTGTTGTTGTTGTTGTTGTTGTTCGGGAGTTTCTCCTGACTTCACTTCGCTCCCCCAAACCACACCATGCATACTGCACGCTTTGCTCACTCGACCGAACTCCCTTAGAACTCCCGGGCATCGTCCTCTCTCCAGGGCGCGGCATCGTCCTTTCAAAGGCCCGTCGCTGCGCAGGTCGATGGGCTCGTGACGACTCAGCACCTTTAAGTCCTTTCGCGACGACGCGACCGACGGACAGCGTCGTCGAGTAGAGGGAGGCGTGGGAGGCGTGATTCGGTGTCGAAGGCATGAGTCGATGGCGAAGAAAGGCATTGGTGTCTTTGGTACATGAAGAAGAATGTGGAGGTAGAATTAAGATACAATGAGTCTTCGTGATTTCGCTGTAGGATGCTGTATGCTCAAATTTGCCATTTGCATGGTTCATAGATTCTTTAAAAAATACCGCCCAATATGGGCACACAATGGCACACATGTTTCTTTCAACTGGTCTGATCAAGCCCCCTGCAGATTCACCACCTGATCAACACGTGCCATTTTGGCAAATCGTCCAGCTCGTGCTCCACGGCGTTCGGGAGCCTCCTGTGGAAAGCACCGGAGGCTAGACGTGGCAGCGAGACCATTGGAGACCATAGTCAATGAATTGGTTTGAGGGAAAATTCTACAGGAAACCCTTGTTTTCATCCCCAAAACTATGGATGCCCTGTAGATGTTTCCCTGCCTAACCAATTCAAGGTACATACAGTATGGATGTCAGGAGGTCCTTACATACCATTAGCCAAACAAATATTAGCTGGATTATGCTGGATTACCTGTTCAGCTGGAGACCATAACACCTCCTTGAAATCTTGAGGTGATCATATTCGTTTCCATGTCTATGACGGCTAGGTGGTGCAATACACCGTGCCAGAATACAAAATACCGTTGCCAGTGCAAAATGGGTTTGGAACCTCACCGGGATCAAAGTGATAAACCATGATGAAACAATGGCAGGTGTTTTTTCTCCACCAAGGGATGCAAAGCACTCTCTTTAACGGCCTCAAGTGTGTTCAGCTCCGGCTGGGGTGGTCCGGCAAGTGATTCCTCCACATCCTCCTCAGCGACGGACACGACACCGAGGGGTCGTTCTTCAAATGAAATTCCGGACCGGCACGGCCGAAACAGTTTAGAAGGGAAGATTGACACAAAGAATTCAGGTATCTGTCCGTTTGAGTCCTTCTCATGGACCTTGGGTTCAAACGGGACTCCATCGCGTTGTGGAGAAATCGCTCGATGCAGGACATCACCAAGACATCACCAATGATCATTCGATCGATGGGTCGATTGTGAAACCTCGTCGATCGATGGGTCGGTTGAACTATCGCGGATCGATCGAGGTTTCAGAGACGACACCGACTCTATGCGATCGGCTGAACTATCACAGCACCGAGAGACTGGGAAGGCTGCACCTGGCTGAAACAAAAGAGAAGAGCCAGGCAAAGCAACATGGTCAGTCGTTGGTCCATCCATGTCCATCCCAAACAAGCAGGAAGCCCAAACAATGGACACACGTGTCCACAGAACGAAAAAAACGAAGTCAATGTTCCAGTCGCTCAAATGTGAATCATTTGTTCCGTATTGCTATGACCATAGCCCCGACAAGCCAAGCTTAATAGATAAGCAGAGAAAACCGCCTAGCGGCGGCTGATCATATCGACCATCGCCCGCCTAGCGGCCAGAAGTCACAGCCGTGCGGCACCTTTGGATGTTCTGGGCATCCAAAATAACCTGCACATGAAGGACATCTGTGAGGAAAAACCACTGTATACTTACTTTGTCTTACTTTACTTCGAGTGATCCCCACCATGACATTTCAATCATTTGTCTTCCTGACAACCCTCACCTGACAGGTGGGGAAAAACACATCGGAAAAAAAGTGAACAAACTCGCTCCAAAAACCGCGAAAAGAGCGCGGCACTGAGCGCGGCCTGTGGCCTTGAAAGCTTCTCGAGCACAAAGAGCTGGGAAAAGTGCAAAGCCATCCCAAGCCTGACAGGATGTCGGCTCAGGGCGCCTAGCGGTCCAAGGCTCAGTCGATCATACTCATCAATTGTGGCCATGGCTGATAAACTGTTGACATCTGCAAAATATGGTCCCACCAATCTACTGGTCTGACCAGTCTTTCCACCAAGTTCTGGGATGTTCACCTGTCTTTGGACCCTTGGTTTTCAGCAACTTCTCCACGTGTCGCACCACCCATCATACCTACATCGTGTCCGCACCTACGCGTGACCCTACACGTGAGCCCTGCATCTCCATGATCGACTCGACACTTCCATGTTGAGGAGCGTCCCAAACACACGAAGCGCTCGACGCTGCTCGTGAGAGACTCAGTAGGAACCGTTGAAACATCCGTCGAAACGTGAGCGACTCGGGTTTCGTTTCGTTTTCGCCGCCTTCGGAATGTCAAAGGCCTTTCCATGCCTCATGGCTGAAATGTTGAAAAAGAATCAGAATCAGCTAATCAGCTCATTTCAACTCCACTTCGACAATTTATGAGAAGTGAGGGTAAATTGGTAAATAGGATAAATAGCTTCTACCTTGCTTTGGTGTGTCACTGCCTTCTTAAATGAAGGAAGCGCTACAGAAAAAGCAATTCCAGATGTTGTCAATTACACACGCAATCACATGTTACAGACCTCTAAATTGCTGATGATTTCGAAGCCATTGAGCATGTGCTTAGCATCAATCCAGATGTCAACCTTAGCAAAGGAATCTATACCAGTCGCCTCCTCTCCATCCTTTTTGAAGCCCAGCCACCACATGCCATTGATTCCGAAGCTGATCTCCCGGCGCTGGCGGTCCACGCAGCAGGTGACGACGTCGCCGGCCTCAAAGCTGGCGCCATAATCCGCAAACTTGTTGCGATGACCTCGGGAGGACCCAAACAACGCCTTCAGATCCCAAGAAGCCTCGTCACCGAGAACGGCATCAGATCCCATGTCTTAAACCATGGAAAAAACCGGTCTTCTGGGAACCGAGGGATTTCTTGGTCCGCTCAGCCCACCGAGAACGAGAACGAGCATCCTCAATTGCTCAAACTTGATGGACCATGGAAGACCAGAAAAATGCTTCCAAATGCTATCCATGATAGACTCCGATAGACGTCGACCAACTTCTTGGATTCTCCACACAATCTCCACGTAAAACACCCAAAATGGGTGACAGCACCCTCTCCATCCCTCTCCACCTAATGAGACCTCTTTGACCTCCGAATTCCTCCCGTTCTCACTGGGTTTTTCCCAAGCGACTCTTCTTGCCGGTTCCTCCGAAGCCGAAGGACTCGGCGTCGGTGCCGAGCGCCTTGGTCGCGCTGCTTCCGGTGGCCCAGCCCACGCGCAAGAGACCCTCGGTGACCTTCACCTCGAAGCAGTACTGGCCTCCCACCGCGCGCTCACGGAGGGAGGAGGAGGTGCGAGGATGAGGACGGGAGCGCGGTGGTGCCGGCTTTGGCCGTTGCGGAGGCGAACAAGGAGATCAAGAAAGGAGGAGGGTAGGTGGGTGAAGAGGTGTGAAAGTAGGGAACTGAAATCCTTCGGGTGGCTGACCTCTGACATAAGGTATGGATAATACCGTGACAGATCCAGCCAGCTGGTGGATTTCCTTACGAAGCACCAGCCAGAGGAAAGGTGACATAATGAGGGGAAGTACACTGCTTGGGCGATCCATGGCCACATGGCCAGCGTGCGATGGGAAGCGATCAGCCAGTCCGATTAGCACACCGTGAGGCTTTCTGCAGCCAACCGCGATCTGTGACGTGCCACTGTTGTCGGTCATGGTGAGTCAAGCTCCGTCTGCGTCGTCGAGTTCGGACATTTGGCAGTGGTGTGGGGAAGGTATCATCTGCTTCTAGGAGCGGCAACCAAGCAAATAGAAGCGACCTCTAGCACATTGAATTCACTTCAATTCACTCTTCATCACTTATCATCACTTATATATCTATCTTGGTCCTATTGCCGGTGACAGTGGATGATGATGATTGGCCTTTCTCTAAAATAGTGATAGTTGTTTTCTGACTGTTGCAGGCAATAGGACAGTCCCAATATCTATCTACTTCAAGAACCCTAAAGTTTACGCTTCTTACTGTGTTCCAACATGACACTTGCAGTCTACAGCGGATCGGATTAACACGTCCATTTTGCGTGGCAGGTACAGCACGGTCAGATTTCCACACCCGTTTAAATTTATAATATTTATAAGGCTTTCAGGTGTGGAAATCTGACCGCAACTGAGGTGTCGACATGTTGCACGTAGGATTCTAAGGGGAAAGGGTTTGTGATGTTTTAGAACTCAAGAAGCGCAACTTTTGGCACCCCAGTGTATTTAATCTTTTGGAGGGGTCAACAGTAATTTTCGCGGCTTCTCGCCCGCAGCCCCCCCCCCCGCCTGACACAACTCCAGGTCGCCCACGAAGTCCAATCCAAGCTCGCTCGGTGCTTGGACAGGACACTCGGTAGTGGCCTTGCAACATGAACTCGTCCATTTTGCGGTTCTCGATCCAGTTACTTCAACACCAACAAACACAACTCATGTGTGGGGCATGAGAAAAAATTGATAAATTTTGCTGCCTCCCGGCTCTACTCTACTTAGTCCTTTGTGCACTTTGCGATTGCTCTAGTCCAATATCATCCAAGATCTATGTCCTTGTCTCAATGATCAAGAGTCACATCCCCAAATAGGCGCCTCCAGTCAATGGATCATGTTCCACCTCCACCTCTGGATCCTTGCAGTTGGGATCCTCACAATATTGTCCACACACGTGGCGTCCATTGTCACCACACGAAAAAGACCTACGAGTAGCAACCCAAAAAGAATTCGATGCAGTTTTGCCAAAAATAAAAATGAAAAATAACTAATTAAAAAAAAGTAACAATAAAATAAAGTAAAATAAATATGGAGCTGTTTCGACACCCAATGCCAGAACAAAAGAGAAAAGGCAGAAAAGGGCAACGTGGGCAGCCCACAGTTTGACCCACACCAACATCTCAGTGAGATCATCCATCTTTGAAGCCGATGAAAGCAGGCAAGTCGCCCAACCAGCCAGTGCCAGTGTGCTCTGAGACGGGCGCTTGCTTCCACGTCGCATGGGAGGAAAGCTTCTGTTGACATGCTTGTACGTCCGTAGTAGTGTTCAGGATCTGAATATGGAGGATCATCCAAGGTCATTTTAAAGTTTCATGTGGTTGCTGTTGCGAATGGCTTTGTACTCCAACCATGCTATAGAAAGAAAGATCTCCAGGCAAAATTGTCAGGTTGCAGTGGCGAAGTTGAGCTCAGCTCAGCTTGATGAGCCGAGATGGCCGTGGGTCAAAGCCGGGCGCCTCAAAAATCTACGGGCCAAGCACTCCTGAAACGGTCCCCTTGGTCCGCCAAAGGTCTAAGGCATCGCCTCATTGCTACGTAGAAACAACATCACATCATTGTTAGACCGCCCTTCTTAGCGCCCAACTTCACCATTGTTCAGCAAGCTGGAGGTATCTTCTAGGAAGGACTCCTCGTGAACCGACGACTCACACAGCGGACGATCAAGAAAACACGACTTTCCGCAGAGCCTTCCCCCCCAGGCAGGGTAGCAATCACTCAAAAAACAGGTGACGACATGGTCTTAGCGCACCCCTTCCGCGAGCTACCGTAGCTTCATTCCTGACCGCTCTCATGGCACAGTGCCATATGGCCGTGTTTGGACACCCAACCCTGGTACAGTTGACCCGACTGCTTCCTGGTACGTCAAGCTCCCACATACCTGAGGCTGGTAGGGTTTTCGGTGCCCATGACCCGTCTGACGCCGTAGGACGCTGACGCGTCAGCCGGTCGTGCGTTGGCGGTGGTCCTTCGGGATTTGCGTGTCGGCCAAGAGGAAGCTGGTCTGGCGGTGCAGAGCGCCACTTGAGACACGGAACGCACGCGACACCGAGACACGGTGTCTCGTTCATCTCGTTCGAAGACGAAGAGCAGACCGGTCTCCGAATGCAGACGGTCTCGCACCCCAAATCATTCGGAGTCCACAGTTCATCGACCCAGCACGGAGGTTCCTCCCTCATGAACCTCACAGAAAAAGCTCATTATATGTATGTGTTACACGACTCGCACAATATCACTGCGCCATTCGCTGCACCTGCACAGGTGCCTCTTGCGTGCCGCCTCCCACGGACATCAAGAGCCGCTTGATCTGAGTCGTGAGTCGAGTCGGCGGGATGTCATGGCACCTGTGGGTCGTGGCACATGGGGACCGACTGGTTGACCACTGAAGAATGAACAGATTCCTCCATGTTCGGACGCTCCTGTCGGGGGTGTCTATCTATCGCCCCCGATAGACTCTGTGATGTTCGCGGTGTCCATGAACCACACTGACTGGGGGTGCTGGTATGTTCGGGAGGTCAACCTACCATGACTTTGGTGGAGGAGACTTGGACACTCACAGTCATATCTACGGTGGCTGCTATCTCGATGGATGGGATGCTAGGTTCAAGCGACGTCTTGGGGTGATCATGGAATGTCTGCCTGCTATCTCAACAAGGGATGGGCCTATCGAGCTCAGCTTGGCATTCCGGGCATCTTCATGCCAATCATCCACGCTGTACTTCTTGGTGATCTCGATGGAGAAGTGGTCGTACCTCAACGTGAACAGCAGTTCATGTCATAGCAGGAGGAATGCTAGGCCAAGCAAATACGGAATGCTTCCGACATGTTTGGCTACATCTCCCAAGAAAAAGCTTTGGCCACATCTCTCTAAAAGCTTCAAACGCACCTGTGCCAACTGTGCCACCTGTGGCCCAAGCTGTCACCAGCTGTGCCGTCTGAGTTTGGAACTCGGCCACGAAGGTTCCCAAGGTGGCTAAACTCTTGCGGCCACTGCCACCGACGCCCACCAGGAGCGCGTTCCCCAAGGGTGTCTTGAGCACCCGCACCTGAGAAAAATAAAAAAGAACAGCAAACACACTGGGAGGGCTGCCAAATGAGGGGGGTCTGCTGTTGGGGGTCACTTTAGTGGCAAGAGGAAAGATGGACAGTTGCAGCACAATCTGCCCAGACCATGCAACAGGATCCACATGAAGGTGTCTTGCTGCAACTCCGGCACAATCCGGCAAATGTGCTGTGCCGCTGACCTGAACAACAGAACATCTCTCTCTGAACTCAGGTGTCAATGAATGAAGTAAAGCAATCTGATTTTGATCTGAAAATGGCAGACCTGTTCTACCCTGCACTTCAAGGCAGTGTCAGAAACCACTCGCAAAACCAACAGTTGCACGTGGGCTATTGGGTCTAAGAGTTGGTTGCAAAGAATGAAAGCTCCGACACGTCAATCAAAAAAAGCGATGGATCTCGAGGGAAACCTGCACGGATATCGTTTTCTGAGTCCCCAACGTGAAGAGTACCAATTCCATGCTGCGCTTCGCCATGGAGTTGTAGTCCATCAACCGATTTTTCCTGGCACGAAGACAGACGGACTTCCCAAGCTGACGGGGTAGAAGAACTCTCGGCCGAACTTCACGGTTGGATGTCAGACTCCGGACCCAAGAATTCACGATCCCGACACCAGACAAAAGATGGTGGACACTGCAAATAGGCATAAGTCCTAAGGAGTGTCCTAAGGTCTTGAAGACTTTTAACAATGACATCCAATCTCTATCGACCGTCCCCCGAGTTGAGATGTCGGCATCGCATCGCATCGGGCCCTATGCCGTCTGCCCGTCACCAGCACATCTCCCGATGTCAAGGGATCGAACAACAGGCCAGTCAGAGCAGCACGTCGTCAAGCTGCTCCAGATTGGTGACCTGTTGGTAGTATAAGGCCTTGCCTCGGAGAAGGCGCCAAGCGCGGCTTGCTTCGGCTAGAAGGCGGCTTGGCACGGCTTCAAGTAGACAAGTCTTCAACGGGTTCAGAGAGTGTGCTGCATCTTATGGACTTTGTGCTGTTTGCATCAAGCCTCATTCTAAAATATGAGACGGTATCTGTCCAAATGAGATGACCTTCTAATCAGTGACGGGTCTTCATCCAAAGCCGTGGACCTACCACGCACCGGTCGTCACAAAACCATCGACCGCCTCCTAAGTCGACCGACTCGTCTAGAACGACTCACTGAGCCCCCAAGCTATCCGCGAAGTCCACGAAAATGATCGGCTCCTCCGCACCGACCGATCGCCGAAACCGAGCGACTGGTGAAGATGCACGGACTGGTGAAGGTCACAAGTGTCCATCGTTGCGAGATCCGAGTCCTGGTGGATGATGGTCTTCCATTGTTTCTTGAAGTGCTCCTGCACAGGGGGGTGTCTTGTTCTTTTTTGGTGAAAGAATAGACTTGATCAATGCCGTGAGATATACACTCACAACGCATCCAGGCTGCCCTTTAAGAGTCCAACAGATGGAAGAGCGAGGCTCACGACGACGCAAACGTGGGCTGCTTGTTCATCGGTGGAAAGGCTGAGACTAGGCTGAGCTGAGAGTCCTTCAGTTCCTTCATCTTCTCCTTCCTCTTCCTTTAGAAGTGTTTTTCGCTCTTGTGATCTAGATTCTTGCGCACTCCAGGAGAAAGTTGCAAACGCTGCCAGTTCATCCCCGACTCTGGTCATTTCTGCCCAAGAGTAAAGACAATATCAGGGAATAGCAGGTGACTCGGTGATGTTCCAAAACGAAACTCGGAACAGAGATCTGTATCTTTCGGACAACTCCCGAAGCCTGCCTGAAGCTTCTCTTGGAGCAGATTTGTGAACCAGGCCTCTGTTTCCATGCTTCAGTGAGAGAGTGAGAACCGGCCCAGTGCGGCACGTGAAAGAATTCTTATCCCTGTCAGCCCACCAAGATGCGTTAGTCATTATTTGACTATTTTCACAAGTCCTCCCTCCACATGTCCTCCCTCCTCATTGCAATCAAGTCACATGATCTTCTTCACTGGCAAGACGGTCCTCGACGCCGCAAAATGTCGCTTGCCACAGCCAAACATGGTTTTAAAGTTTCAATCTCGGAATTCAAAGCTTGCTCGCCGGCATGTTCATCCATCCAGAAGATTGTCAACTTGTTGGGTC